GTCCTGGACCTGGTGGCTTGCTTGCTCTCTCTCTCTCTCTCTCTCTCTTTCTTGGTCTTTCTCTGGCAAAATTCATGTGAAAATAATAATAATAATAATAATAATAAATAAAGTTAAATAAAATAATTTTTTGAGAGAGGTTTTTTTTTTTTTGCTATAGGGCGCATGCGCTCGCCAGACAGAGACAGAGAGATAGAAAGCGAGAAATCACCCCCAGGGGGGATGGCCACACAGCAATCCCTTCTCCTCCATTCTCCTCTCAGGATCTTGGGCACGCATGCACATGCGCCCAGCGTGAGTTTAAGCCACTGGTCCGGGACTCGAACCGCGGTTGACTATGTGGACTCAGTCCAGTGACATAGCCATTATGCTAACTGCTGGTCCCAATAAAATAATTTTAGAAAAAAAAAGAAAAAAGAAAAGAAAGCAAGCCACCAGGTCCGGGATTCAAACCACAGTCGGTCATGTGGGAGTCCAGTGACCACAACCACCACGCCACCTGCCGGCTGCAGTATTACTTTTAATTTGCCCGAGGGTACACATATTCACTAGAGAAAGAGAGAGGCATAGGGAAGGAGAAAATACTCCCAAAGGGTGTAGTCACACCTCATTCTTTTCTTTCCCAGCTCTTCAGGATTTGGGGCACTGACATGCATGGGCCTGGTGTATTTTTCAAGCCACTGGGACCGGAATTTAAACCACATTGTTGACCATATAGGATGTGATTCCCCTGGGTCCCTAGCCACCAAGCCATGGGGCTGGCCCTGTGTCCACTTGAAAGAAAGAGAAACTGGGAACCAGCACATGGCATGGTGGTTGAGATGCTGGACTCCCACATGGCTGACTGTGTTTCAGTTCTGCACCTGGCAGCTTGCTTTTTTACTTTCCCTTTCTCGCTCTCTCTGTGTCGCTCTCTGGTCAAATTGGAAAATGCTAACAATAAATAAAATTAAATAAGTGAAGTAATTCTTAAAAAAATAATAATAATAACAGAGAGAAACTGAGGGCAAGAGAGGGGAAAGAACTCACAACTAGTAACTGCTCAAAGCAGGACTGCTGCGCGCTGGCCCTGTGTCTGGCCTTAACCTGCCTCTCTTCATCCCCAGGCCTCACCTCTCCTAATGGCGCAAGTACCAGGAGAAGTAGACAACATGGAGGGCCCACCTGCCCCTAACAACAATAACCCCACAGCCCGCTGGGAGAGTCCAGATCGGGGCTGGGAGCGGGAGCAGCCGGCCCCCTCCACTGCAGCTGCCTCACTCTTTGAGTGCTCCAGAATCAAGGCCTTGGCAGGTACCTGAAAAAGGGCTGGGATGGGAGCCAGGGGAGGGAAGGGGCTGCTAAGGTGGCATCAGTGCCTCTTAGTGCCTGAGAACCTTGAAGGCCCAGAGGCTGGGGAGAGAGTACAGACACTTAGCACTTGAATCTTTAGCCCATCGCTATCTACGAGAAGTTTCCACAGTGATGAGATGATTTTACATCTGTGGTGTCCAATATAGTATATGTGGCTATTGAGCACTTAAAATGTGGCTAGTGGTATTTCAGAACTGCTTATAACTTTTATTTAATTTGAATTACATTTAAATTTAAATAACCGCATGTAGCTCACAGCTGCTGTATGGGCAGCAAGAGTCTTAGACCCTAAGAAATGTACAATCCCAAACATGGGACTTTGTAAGCAAATTCCTTAGAGTCCTGAAATGCACAACCAGTGAATCTTAGGACCTTGGAACATCATGTTCAGATTCTTCATACCTGGCACCTTAAGAAATGGAAACCCTGGGTCCAGCAGGTGGTGTGGTGATTAAGGCGCTGGACACTCCCACATGGTCGACCATGGTTCAAGTCTCGGACCTGGGGGCTTGCTTTTTCACTCTCTCTCTCTCTCACCTATTATATGAAAATAAATAATGAATAATAAAATTAAAAAAAAAGAAATGGAGACCCTTTATTTATTTATTTTTATTTATTTATTTTTTTGGAGAAGTTTTCGCTATAGGGCGCGTGCGCTTGCCAGACAGACAGAGAGAGACATAGAGACAGAAAGCGAGAAATCACCCCCCATGGGGGATAGCCACGCCACAATCCCTTCTCCATTCCTCTCTTGGGATCTTGGGCACACATGCACACGTGCCCAGTGTTAGTTTAAGCTACTGGGTCTGGGACTCATGGCCGTCCGCTTGTGGGGGAGTCCAGCGACACAGCCATTACGCTAACTGCTGGTTCCCAAGACCCTTTAAAATGTAGAGAGTTATTTTGTTTATTTTTATTTTTTTGTTTGTTATATGAAAGTATAGGGTGTGTGTCCTTGTCCAAGAGAGATGCAGAGAAACAGAGAGAAAATGAGAAATCACTCCCAGAGGGTAATGGCCACACCACAGTCCCTTCTCTTCCATTCTCCTCTTGGGACTTTGGTCATGCATGCATGCATGCCCGGCATGAGTTTTAAGCCACCAAGTCTGGGACTCAAACTACAGTCGTTGTGGTTAAGGAGCTAGACTCCCACATGACCAACTGCAATTCCCAGGCCTGACAGCTTATTCTCACTTTTCTTCTCTCTCTCTCTGTCTCTAGGAAATTTAAAAATTAATAATAAATAAAATTAAATAAATCATTATTTTAAAAGAAGAACATGAACTCTCAACTTAAAAAAAAAAAATGATAGAGAGCATATACGTGAGAGATAGAGAGAGAAGCATCCTCAGTAGATTTTCATCCCCTTCCCCAGTCCAGCTCTTCAGTATCCTGGGTGCGTGTGTGTACCTGACATGTTTTCAGCCCAACTTGGGACACACCCATGCTCCAGTTGACTGTACACCTTCCAGCTTTGTAGGGCACTTGCATTCC